CGTCCATTGTTAGATTGGTTGTCCTGCCTTGTCTAAAGCCTTGCGGACAAATGCATTTGTTGATTTTACCGTAGTGGTGATGACAAATAGCCCACAACTCCTTACTTGTTGGCGTAATGAAACGACGACGAAGGCGGCAAGGGATAATGTGGCGGTGATGGCGTGCAGTTAGCACCTCGTGAACACAATTAATCGGCTTATGAGCGTATAAGGGGGAATTAGACTGTAAAGCAAGCGCTAATCACCTGAGTGCATAGTTCACATTGGCTAGTGTTGCTTGATGAAAGTTTAAGCTAGCAGGTCTGTATAAATGATCGCTTGATCAGTTGTGTCAGTTCGTCTTGTGAAGATGGAGTGTGATAGCATCACTGCTGATGCGAGCTTGGGTATGTTGTCACAGACACGGATTGCTCCTTATTAATATGAATTGCTGATGTATGCAGTGTTCTTTCTTCTAATGTTCATGTTGGTTGCTTATGTCTAGGCAGTTGAATACATTTCTCCCTTGTGTGTGGGTGGGTGTATCCGAGTGTCTAAGTCGTGACAATCGTTTCTGTGAGTTGATTTAACAACACGTTTTCTGGTGTTTAGGTGAAACTATCACACTCAACAGACAAATTCAAAGGCTGGTCTCGGAAAAGGCCAGAAGTAGCATCCGTGGTATGGTAGAATATAATCAGGTGGCTAGCACTCCACCGCATAGTCCAAAGACACGGAGAGTTCGCCAAAAACAACGTCGCCGACGTCGCCACGGACGAAATGCCATTGCACGACTTCAGGAGCAGACCCAACAGACAAGGCATAAAAATAACCGTCAACCGACAATTACCAACAACAACTCTGACGCAACTTCCGCCAACCGCGGTGTACCTGTATGAAGACGGCCAGATGCAGCACATGGCGGGGAAACGAACGTAACTATCGACGTAAGTTGTCCACACATTCGCCAGTGGTGCTGCTTTAATCTCCAGCATGATAATTGCAGTTCTGTGCTCATTGTAGCGCTGGTTGTCTGTGAAGTACATTTTCGAGGGAGAATCAGAGCTGGGCAAACTGCATGGACGAGCAGCAATGTACAGCAGTTCCTGGAAAAAACTCGTGCCCTCATTCAAGCACTGCAATAACGCCGCCATGATAGGTCCTTATTTGTGGACGTGCCTCAAAGCAGTCATGGAATATCACGAAATGCTGGTCGAGCACGTTTCAGACGTTAGAACGTGCGTGCATGTATTCGCTTGCAAATCAACATCGAGACCTGATCGTCCTCTCCATCCAGCCGTCCTGCCATCCAGCCAGCCAGCCAGCCATTCTCTCATCCATCCATCGCCAATATTGAACCATCGAACAGTGCTCTTTTGTCATTCCGGAGTGCGCATTTAATTGCTCCTTTGACCGTACTCTTAATTGACTAACTTACTGCTTTCCCGAACTGCCGTTGCATTTTGTGCCATGTATCTGTTTGCGTGTATAATAAATGCTTTCCACTGTGCAAGCGTTGAGTGATTGATATACCATAATAGTTTGTCAACGTTCTCTATAATATTTTGTCATGCAGATTAATTTAATGCTCTCTAGTGACCAAGCGTAGTTTGAGTCTTCGATTATTTGTCGCTGTTGGGTTGGTCTGCGTCATGGACTTGGATTAAGCTTGTTAGGCACGGTCACCTTACTTTCAAACAGCCATATCAAATTGACGCTTTTCATGATGGGCTCAGTTGCAAGAAACGTGCAAATAGAATTTGAGTGTTTTGTGCATAGTCACACCGGCAGCGATCAAAGGAGCAGAAATCAACCAGTTCTGCATCGTCACTAGCAGTACATCCATGCCCGAATATGCAATATTTGTGCAAGAGAAGTGTGGTAGAAGATTAGACCATTCAAATCGTGCGGTTGAGTAGTCATGTCGTAGGAAAGCCCAGTAGCACATGTCATAAATAATTTCTAATTTGGTGTCGTCAATTTGTCTAGCCAAAGTAGCCGCATTTACGATGCCACAGCTGAAGTGGCATCTAGTTGCCTTCATGCTGTGGAAGCTTGCTCATTAGCAAGTGTCTGGCAAACTACAAGTTCAATTCAATAGTACGTGCAGTTTTCTTCACACTGAGTCTGTCAATGATAGACAACCGGAAATGCTCTTTGTAAATATGTTAAGCAATTTGCAAGAGGTAGCACATTTGTGGCAAGACCCCAGACTTCAGTTAGTAAGGTAAATTCCGGTTACAATCGTATGAATGTAATCGAGACACCAGTGACTGATATTTTGCATACACGCCATTTATTTGTTGCGGACGGTAAATAAACGATTTGTATGCGAAATTTCTGATTTGAGTTTCTGTATTCAGAGCCGTTTATCTCTCATGTTGCCGCTGGTTCCCATGCCTGCATTTGCTATTAGCGTGAATCCAGTGTGAAGGTTACAAACGACACGTTCACCCATGTGGTAACTACCCTGCAAGGGTTAAGGCACGTTTGTGAGTCAACTTGGATGCGGCAAATGTCTTCACACTATCAATACGCTTGTGTTTGATGGCATTGAATCCCCCAGTTCAAACCATACCACAGGAAGAATTGCTGGCCCTTAGTCGGACTTCTGCCTTTGAACCTTAGGTCTGTATATTCAACGTTTAGTGCACCAGAATCTTATAACTCGGTTATCAGTAAATCATCTGGATATTGCTAAAATGTTTCTTTTTGTTAATAGAAAGCACTTTAGATGAATTTGTTTTGAAACTAGGCGAGTGAAACTAAGTGCGAAGTTGTCGATAACAGCCAGCAAAATAGCCCTCTGTGTGGACATTTAATGCATGATTATTTGCATAATCAGTCCAAGATATATGACATTCGGCAATTTAGTTTTGATCACTATTTGACCGCCATTGCTAAGTAGCGGAATACCTGTATACATCCGTAAATGCCGCCCACAGAGATGCATGTTCGACACATTTTTTGCTAATACATATATAAAGAAATTAAATTGTTTAATCAATACATTTACTAATTTTTAATTTGGCATTATATTTTGTTTGCTAGTAGCCGTATAAAACATGTTATTCAGCACAGTGGCAAAATCCAACATACAGTTATCCCACACTCACTTTCAAGTCAACATCATGAATCCTCACATTCACTTATTAAACAGCGTGATGAATTTCCAGTCTAAAACAAATTAATTATGGCACTTCTTCTTAAAGCACAAAAACTAAGACCATGCGCATTGCACACGATCAATTCATGGGATAAAAATGCTGTGAAGAATGGAGGCACGTGACGGGTTTATAAAGTGGCTAAAAAGTGTAATACGTTTTCGATTTTTTCATTGAGTGAGGTTGCCGTGAAACCTCTCTATTCCGCTTGTCGTAGCTCATTGACAGCATGCCTACATCGCAGTATCTCACGATTTATGTCAATGATGTCATTACGATGCGAGGTAGCTCCGAGTTTTGCACTCAAACATTGGACATACGTGAACAAGTTAACGTACGTATGAATATTTGAAGAGGCTGCAGCAGCAACGAGGGATTTTGGTGGCAGTTAAAGCTGACATGTGTTTTTGATTTTAATTACGATAAATGTATTACAGGTAGAATACTCGTGGTTGTTAAAAACGTGCTGAAATTAAAGGCAAATTTAAAAACGAATTGAATAAAATGCCCGTCACAAGCGAAGAACGTATTTTCCAATTTAAACACCATAGCAAGTCGTTAGTAATTGGCAAGGCTTGATTAGTCGTCATTATGCTGTTATTACTTAGTATGCCACTGTGCCTGAAAAAAGCTGCGCCACATTCGTGACCGAGTACTCTAATTGTCTTAAGCCATACGAACGAGACCGTTGTTACTGAGAAAATAAAAGTAGAAACACGAATGCCTAATGGGTCGGATATGTAATTAGCTTCAATGTCTAACACTGCTTATACTCAAGTACAATTAGGTTTAATTAAATCGAGATTACTTGATAATATATTAATTCAGAGTCAGTGATGTGTGTTCGAAACGTGTTGATAAGCATCAATATCGACAATATGATAATCCATCATTGGTTTAGACGTTAATGTCTACTCAATATAAACCACGACCTTAAATATTTATGAACCCATAAGATGAATGTATTCCCCTATGTAGCCTGTTGCTCTTTTCAATTATTAGCTAAAATCAATAAAAATTCAAAATTCAGAAAAGCAGTGTTTGACTCCTTAGCCACAAGACCTTCCACGATATGTTTGTTCAAATCAAATTCATTCCTAAAAAGGGCGCGTCTATTCGACAACGTGATTATTGCACAAACTCATATAAAGTCCAGCAAATTCGATGACACTGCCCTAAAACACTAATCAACACAACAGCTTTTTTTCAAGTAGAATGTAATTAGGCAACTGCGTGATAAACTTGGCCAACATTGTCAAGAATCATGCATTGTTTTTCTGCATTAAATTACCTTAGCCCAAATCTAGAAGCAAATTTACAACAATCAAATATAATGTCTTTGTCTTGACACTGACCCTGTTGGCCCAATTGTGAAAATTCCAAACCGAATTCTTTTCAAGGAGTTGCCAGTCGGCACTATCCCAAGTGCTACTGCTGATTTTTATCAAACGTCGGCTTCTGGTTGGCTTACAAGACAACAAATTGAGTTGGGACTTGCCTGGAAGATATTATCTTAGGACCGAGTACCGTGGGTCGTGCTATAAAGGAATGCACCAGAACTACTAATACTGTAGTATTTAGAAGCCACAGTTACAATAACCCAAATCACTGTCTATTTGACCTACTTCATGAATCTTCGTGGTGCAATATTGCAGTTTCATCTGTTGATGCAGATTTATTGCTTTGCTTGAACATAGGACGCATTAAATATAACGGCCAATCGTGACTTCTTGACGGTAATAACAGCGACGTGGTTTGATTATTTAGGGGCGTAAAATGCGCATTACTGAGTAGGGGCCACCAGGCAACAAGGCGTAACAAAATTTAACGTTTAAATTTTTCAGATAAAGCACATATCCTCCTAGCACACACATTTGGCTTGTTATCAATCAGGAAGTTACTTTTGCAATTTTGGCTTTGATCTCAACCAATTCTCCCTTGTGTCGGCAAAAAACCATGCCATGATGTCTAAGATTTGCAGCCAGAATAAACCAGTCGTAAGAGTCAAAATCTTATTTTAGGTGTGCGTCGCTCGTGTAATGACCGCATTAATTATTTCCACATACGTATCTGTAACACTGTCTTCATCTGCTCGAAAACAGAAAACTGATGAACTTCCGTGAACACCACTGCAATGACATTTAAGACACCATGCAGCTAGAGTGTTATCATGACCTGATCTGCTTGCCTAAATATGCTTACTCGTCTCTGGCCATCTGCTTGGCCAGATGGATCATTATAAGTGCACTTTTGTCCTGGTTGTTGTTTCAGATGGACAGATATTTGCTTCACAATAGTTGCGATCAAAAAAGGGCGCAATGTGAAGAGAATCTGCAACCTAGTGGGATAACTGACTCTTTGTGATGGATTTGAAACCCTTATTATGCTTAAACAAAATCCCAAATATCACGCAAATGCAATATAAAAGCGCAGACACGGATGATGGAAGCATATGGGCAACATATTGTGCGAGAACAACAATCTAAATAAATTTCTACACTATCAATTACTGTATTCAGCCCTCGAAATATTTTTTTCGTGCGAATTCCGTTTGTTTAAACTATCGGCAGCACAGAACAGGGCAGGATTTACAAGCGTGGTTTATACCTAACAGCCGGCAAACACCAAGTCTTAGACGCCAGTTTGTGAATCATTTCGGCAGTTTTTACAATCAACGCCGTTTTACCTGATCGTTATCATCTCCATCAACAGCACGCGTGTCAGCCAATTGAGTCCTGTGATGTTGTGTACACTCACGCAATGTACTGTAAATAGGGACAGTAAAACAACCACAGGAGACCGATCACCATACGCTGAGGTTAATCTGTTTTAATTCAACTGACGTGCAGTTCAAATGCATGGAGTGAATATAATGCACCCAATTAACCGTTTTGATAGTGATGATTTCTGGCTTATAAGTGGTTCATAATACTGGCCAGGTAATACTATACACATTTACAAATTGCCTAATGTGAAATTATAGCAAAAAGTTGCCAAACATCATAACTTGTGCAAGTGTATCAACTCACTCAGCTTGTCATAATACAAATACTTACAACAGCCCTGATTTCCGACATTCAAGTCCTTCAGTTCACTAAATGCCCATTGGTTTAGCAAATACCTTTTAAGAACTACTGACGATTTAGCAGTAGTTAAACTTGCGCCACCTACAAACAATGGCTGAAGTTAGTAATTTGTTCACATGGCAAAGGTTTTGCTTGTGACTTGGATAAATTTTTACAGTTTTTGACACGAGCAATAAACTCCTGCTTTTGGCATATGACGAACAATTGAAATGCCGTTTGATGACAATTCACTACACCTTGAAGATACATTTCTCACGGCAAGCACTTTTTAAGTCAACCGTGTTTGCTCTATGCTTCCTCTTAGTCTATCTCCACTACTCATTAAAAATATTCACAAATTGACTTTAATGGTCCTTTCAAGTTGGTTGAACGTGCTTTCAAATGTTTTGAACAAAACAAATATGGAAAGCAGATTCCGTGAGCGTAGGTCGCTTTAAATGTGTCTACAGGGGTGGCCGCAATGTCATCTTCTCACATACAAGCATAAACAGACGATACACCCTTCTTTATATCCATTCTGACCTTCCTCAAGATTTGTCTAACACCCGAGGAGAACTCCTTTTTGCTCTACTTATTCGGCAGGAAATTTGCGTAGCATTAACTGCGTCTTACGACCAGTGCTCAACTTGGCGATCGAGTGAGCGATGACCTGAAATAAGCACTGAGCGAATGTACATTAACGAGGCCTGTTTAGTAAATGATTAGGATCCACTTAGTCACCGTCACCAATCTCGACCACACTCACGCAAGGACACAACTAGCTGACTGACCTTTCTAACAGGTCTTATCCGCTGTCACCCGTCTACTCTAAATTGTCCCATTTGATGTGCTGTTGACTGGCAGGTATGTCAAATAATTTGTCAAGTGTTCCCTACATGTATTGTGGCTTCCTTTTCATTCCATAATGACGTGGGTAGAGCATTGATTTTAACTAGTGCCAATAGCGGCTGGGTTCAAACCTGTACAGACTTGAGGGGAACTCTTGCTCGGAGGTCACCAGTACTTCTTCAGAGGTCAGAATTTGTTGTCTTGACTGACCCACGTTTGATCTGATTTAACACGCTCATACACAGTCGTCAAACGTAACCTTTGACTGTCGTAAGACTGGTGACAAATTCAGAACATGAAGCAATCAAGTAGGGTCTTGACTGCCCTAACAGGCCAGAATCAAGGATAAACATTGGCTATCGTTTGTCTGCGTCTGCCTAACTCAGGCGCATTTGTAGGCGATTGATTAAAAGCAATAATTGTCTGCCATCAACAGTAATCTTACTAAATTTTGAGCAAATGGCACCACTGATCTCTGTTGGATACTCCAACATAAGCCGTTTTTATATTATCATCCAGAAAACACCAAGGATGCACGTTTATATACAAAACTGCAGGGTTGACTAGAGTAGTGAAATCAGCGACTTCGAGTGTAAAATCAAGATGCGGATTAAGCGTTCTAGCAAATTTTCGCCAACAAATTCCAGAACAGATTCGGATGACACGGATATTGTATGCAACTTCAGTGGTGAGTGTTGGTTTGCTATTTCTTTTTTCAATGTGTCCATTAATTTGGCGTGGTGTTTTAGTGTATGGCACCACATTATCTTATCGTTTCCTCCTCTATTCTTGCTGAAACGTCGAGTTGATTGACTTAACTACCTGCATGTAAACATGTTTAGACAACAAAATTAGACATATAAGAATGCATCCATGCTTGAATAGGTTCAAATCAAATAAATTCAAATCAATTAGCAGACGTGATTTTGTTGTTATGCCAAGTCATGTAATGTGGTTTCCTTGGGATGTTCCAAGACCAATTTAGTAACCTAAATTAATAAGCAGCAGATAGTAAGCGGACCGTTGATGATGCGATGTGCTACCTAAGGTTTACTGAGTTCGAAGTGGCGCAGATGCAGGTGGTGGGGGAGTAGATAAAGCAAAACCTTTCTCGGTGTAGTTTGTCTCACAAAAGCTACCGATGCCTAATCCTGACAACCCATCCAAATGCTTAAAATGTTAAGGGTCCTCATCATTCGCTTTTTATCTTCCGTTTTAATACCACTCTCAAAGCTTGGTTCCCTTAATTTTATTTGATATGCCTTTTTTTACAGCGACACTGTTTATCGGCTTTCAGAGTCAAGTATTGCCGCCGTTTCTGGTGCAACACAAAAACAACACCATTAAGATGAAATTATTTTGAAACTATGCGAGTGAAACTAAGTGAGAAGTTGCTGAAAGTAGCCAGCGAAATAGCCCTCTGCGAGGAAATTTAATGCACGATTATGTACATAATTAATCCAGGATATGCTAAATTTAGCGATTTAATTTTGATCACTATTTGAGAGCCATTGCTAAGTAGCGGAATAATTGTTTACATCCGTAAATGCCGCTAACAGAGTTGCGTGTTCGACACATTTTTTGCTTAATAATTTTAAAAAGTGGAATAGTTTAATTAATTCATTTTCTAATTTTTAATTTGGCAAAATATTTTATTATACTAGTAGTCGTATAGAACAAGTAATTTGGCACAGTAGTAATATCCAGCTCACAGTTATCCTACAATCACTTTCAATTCAACATCATGAATCCTCACATTCACTTATTAAACAACGTGATGCATTTCCACCCTAAAACACATCTCCAACCAAAACAACAACAACGTCTGCAACCGAGAATAACGACATCCCCAAAATGTCTATAAGCCGACGCCAGATACAGTCGACAAAGCTTCGTGTGTCTGAAAATGGCAAACACTCGTCTACCCACTAACATCTAATAACGAAGCTCGCGAATTTGACCACCTGAAACAGAGTTATTTCCGCAGCCACATGTGAATGCTTTAATCTCTTGCCACCCTACGCTTACACTGGGTGAGTGACAAAATCACATCTTGCAAGTACACAGCACATCGTGAACTCAATTAATCAGCTTATGAGCGGATTAGGTGGGATTACTTTGCATAGCAGACGCTAATCACCTGCATGCATAGTTCCCATTGGCCAGTGTCACTTGAATCGAGTTCAAGTGAGTAGTTCAGAATAAATGATTGCAAGCCATCATCGCAGGATCAGTTGTGTCTGTTCGTGTGGTGGAAATGGCGTGCGACAGCAAACTGATTGATATGAGCCTAGGTGAGTTCTCACGGCCGTTACTGCTAACCATTCATTTACATGCATTGCTGTGTCAGTGTAGTTGGTTCTAATATGAATATTGCTTGTGTAGTTGCTTCTAATGTGCATTGATGTCGTGACAATCGTGTTTGTGAGTTACTTTCACGTGGCATCTTGCGGTGTTTAGATGAAATCATTAAACTGAACAGAAGGACTCAGCAAGTAGTTGGGAAAAAAGCTGGAGGTTATCATGGCAGACTGGCAGTGAGGTCGGCGGCTGGAACTCCACCAGCAAGACCACCGACACACAAGATGTACTGGCAACACCGACGTCGCCAAAAGGCCATTATTCGAAGCCAGCAGTTGAATCAAGGAAAAGGTCTGCTTATTCCCGTCAGTTGTCAAGTTCTAACATCGACCATGCCAACTTCCAGCAACACCGCTTGGCCCACATCAAGACGGCCAGACACAGGTCAAGGCGGGAAATCCAATCTGTCAATCAACGTAAGTGCTGCACACATTGTACTGTGGTGATTTGCTTGCATCTAGAGGAGGATAATTGCATTTCTGCGCACATTGTAGATTTCGTTGGCCATGAAGCACAAGTTCGAGCT